CCCCCCCCGGTGAGGTGGAAACATCTCTCCAGCCCCGTCACACTTCCACGTTCATCATCGTAGCCATCGGCCCATGCGTCTGTAACCCCCGCTCACTTTCACAACCCCCCCCTCCCCTTCGTCCCGTCATATAGCAGCCAGCTTCTCCTCCGCCGTACAGAAGAACTAGGTCATACGCCGCCCATCCATTAGTAATATAGTTCCATTTCCCCAGAACTTTCAAGAAGCATTGGCCAAAGCAACTTGCCAGCCGCGAGGGATCACTGCTTCCCGAATTTTCCTCGCTTCCTCCTGCGCGGTCCGCTTCTGGCGATGGCGTGCAAGGAAAGTCCGCGAAAAATCTCTTTTCTGTGAGGCCCGCTGCCCCTCCCCGTTTTCTACAAATTGCATACAGATCTCCCGCCTGTAGATTCCCGCCCCGTCGGCATCTATATATACCGCACTGCGATGCCTCGCAGTCCAGCGTTCTTCTTCTTCAGTTTCGGTGGAATAACAACTTTGACACTTTACCTGGGCTACTGGACTGCTCTCAGCTACGCGAATATCTCCTAACGACGACGAGCGACAGGGAAGGTGGTAGGAGGTCTACTGTTACGGTGGCGAAGGGGGGAAGGGAGCGAGGCTTCTGAGGGAGTGAAGGGGGGGGGGGCGGAGGGCGATCAGGGATATGGAAGGAGTAATGCAAAATTTTGTTCATAGTTTTCTTTTTTTCGTAGTTAATGGCGGAGGAATCTGTGGAAGATAGAGTCGCTAGTTTGGAGAAGGCCGTTAAAGTAAGAATTGATATTTCATTCACTAGTCAGTTACTTTTCAATTCGCTAGTCAGTTACTTCGATCTTTCGTGTTCTAAATAGCCTATTGAAATGAGACTTTCTTGTAGGAGCTTCAGACGAAATTGGCGGAGATCAAGTTGGAATCGGGGCGACCAGAAAAAAGCGAAGTATTTTTTTATTATTTTATTATTTTTGTTATTATTCTACTATTTTTTATTAATTTTATTTTTATAGTTATATTTATCATTTTATATTTGTACTTCTTTATTTACGTTTCTTATGTCTTTTTTTTAACCTTTTTAACTTTCTAATTTCTCAATTTTAATATAAATTTTTAATTTATTCAGTGAGAATGAATTTATAAAATCTATGTTTTAAATTTCTTATTTTATTTTTATTTTGCTACTTATTTATATTTATATTTAATATTTCTTTTAATATCTTTTCATTTATTTATATTAATATTTTGATATTATTTACTTTATTCTTTATTTATTTATCTGTTTATTATAAAAAATATTAATATTTATTATTTAATTTTCTAATGTTATTATATTACAATATTTGTTATATTAACATTTTTATCATATAATAACTCTCTGATAATAACCGTTCAAACCCGAATTCCTGAATGACTCGGTTTTTGTTTGCAGGAGCTGCTACTGGAATTACAGCGAATAGAACGTAAAATGGACGTTTTGGAAAAGCACTGCGATGAGCTCGAGCGTCGAGTACAGAAACGGAGAGAGAGCCATTGAGCGAATAAGCCTGCAGTTGAGCCTGACAAACCTTACTTAGTTATAAAATTGTATATGTTTTTCAGTTTAGGGCTTCAAGTTGCTGTAGAGTGAGTTTTGAACTTCGACGCTGATTTACTTCGGTTTCTTTCATCCATCCAAAACTAAAATTTTCTGGTGTTTTCGGCTTTCGTAAATTTAGCCCCAAACGTGAGCCCGCAGTCGTTTTATACGATCGGCGATTGTTTCTTGAATTCATTCCTTTTCTTTCAAAATTTTCTTCCTAATGGAAATTCTCTTTCAAATTTGCATCCTGTCGTTGCACTGGATTTGCTTTTGGTAGGTTTCGGTTTCCATAACCGAAATTGTTAAATTGCCTTTTTCTCCATTTTGCCTCTCTTTGCCGTTGCCATTTTGCCTCTGTTCTTTGCCCTTTGCCATT